GCCTCGTGCTGCGCCTCAATGCGCCGCTCTGGTGAGGGTCGGGCCCGGGGAGGCGGGAACCCGAGGGCCGCGGGCTCGAGCTGCCGGCGGCCCCAGCTCACAGGGCCCGGGGCCTCGCCGGCTGCGCGTGCCCGTCCTCTCCCGCCCGCATCACTCAGGGTACCAGGCCCGGGGCTCAGCTTTCCCGTCCTGCGTCCGGGATGCCCAGACTCCGGGTCTAGGTCCCTCAGGCCGACCCCTGGTGCGGGACTTGAGGCCACGGGTCGGCGTCCCAGGTCCCGCTAACTCACCGGAGCCCGCGCCATCCTCTCTCGCAGCGTGCTGAGCTACATGGCGGGCGTCGCCTGGTTCTTGGCGCTGGCTTTCCCGCCTTTGACCCAGCGCACTTACATGTCGGAGAATGCCATGGGCTCCACCATGGTGGAGGAGCAGTTTGCGGGCGGAGAGCGCGCCCGGGGGTTTGCCCGGGACTTCGCTGCCCACCGCAGGAAGTCGGGGTGAGCGGCAGAGCAGTGGGTATGGGGGAGCAGTGGTGGCCAAGGCCTGGCAGCTCTGCTCAGAGGCGCTCTCTGTGTCTCCAGGGCTCTGCCCGTAGCCTGGCTGGAGCGAACTATGCGGTCAGTGGGGTTGGAGGTCTACACGCAGAGTTTTGCCCGGAAACTGCCCTTTCCAGATGAGACCCACGAGCGCTATGTATTGGGGGAAGGGGGTGTGCCTGGGACCAAGCACCTCGGAGGGGTGGCATGGGGCCAGGAAGCTCAGTGGGAGGGATGATCTGGGGCCAGGGCAATCCATGGTGGGCGTTACAGGGCCAGGGGAAAGGGGGTGGGGGGGGGCTTCAGTCTTCTACCATGAGATTACTGCTGAGGCTTCCCCACCAACCGCATACAGATGGTGTCAGGCACCAACGTGTATGGCATCTTACGAGCACCCCGTGCTGCCAGCACTGAATCCCTCGTGCTCACTGTACCCTGTGGTTCCGATTCTACCAACAGCCAGGCTGTGGGGCTGCTGCTGTCACTCGCTGCCCACTTCCGAGGTGAGGCTCAGGGGCTGCTGGCCAGGGAGAGCTTGGTCATTGCCCCAGGCCCTGCTGACCCTGCTGACCCTGCTTCTGGCCTTCAGGGCAGATTTACTGGGCCAAAGATATCATCTTCCTGGTGACAGATCACGACCTTTTGGGCACCGAGGCTTGGCTCGAAGCCTATCATGACGTCAATGTCACTGGTGCGTGCTTTTGCCCTGCCCTGGCCTCTCCCTCAGAGTAACTGTCCTCACCAGCTGCCCTCCCCCATTGATGCTCATTCCCTTGCCCCTGCAGGCATGCAGTCATCCCCCCTGCAAGGCAGGGCTGGGGCCATCCAGGCCGCTGTGGCCCTGGAGTTGAGTAGTGATGTGGTCACCAGCCTCGATGTGGCAGTGGAGGGGCTCAATGGACAGCTACCTAATCTCGACCTGCTCAATCTCTTCCAGACTTTCTGTCAGAAAGGGGGGCTGCTGTGCACACTGCAGGGCAAGGTGAGACCACCTTCCTGGGGGACACAGGGCCTGTGTTGGGGGGGATTGTCTAATCCTGTCCCCACGCCTCCAAGCTGCAGCCCCAGGACTGGATGTCGCTGGACGGCCCGCTGCAGAGCCTGCAGACATTGCTGCTCATGGTTCTGCGGCAGGCCTCCGGCCGCCCTCATGGCCCCCACGGCCTCTTCCTGCGCTACCGCGTGGAGGCCCTAACTCTGCGTGGCATCAATAGTTTCCACCAGTACAAGTATGACCTGGTGGCAGTGGGCAAGTAAGTAGTTTCTGGGTCCTTTTTCATGCTCTGGGCAGTGTCCAGGTGGGGTGGAGCAGGGGATGGCCTGCAGAGTCTGGCTGGCCGTAACCCTACCCCACCCCTGACAGGGCTTTGGAGGGCATGTTCCGAAAGCTCAACCACCTTCTGGAGCGCCTGCACCAGTCCTTCTTCTTCTACCTTCTTCCTGCACTCTCCCGCTTCGTCTCCATTGGCCTCTACATGCCTGCCATCGGCTTCTTGCTTCTGGTCCTCGGTCTCAAGATATCCTCCACCCTTCTCTATCCACTTGTGACCAGCCTCAGTCCCCTCAACTCTAGGCTGGGGAGAGTCCTCATCCTGCTCTGGGGTGGGGGTGTGGGGGTGAGCCCTGGGTCGCCCACCTGGCAAATCCCATCAGACCTCTCGTCGGGATCCTTAACTGGGCCATGCTCTGGAACTGTGGATGCAGCTGCATGATTCCAGAATGGGGCCTCAGGAGGCTGGGGGTCCCCTTGGACCCAGTGTTCCCCTTCCCCCAATACAGGTGATGCCACCCCTTCTGTTGTTGGGTTCTAGGGTCCTGAATGGTGCTTACTGCTGCCATTTAGCATCAGCTATGGGGTGGTAGTGAGGGTCCTTTGGGCTCCTCTGGTCCCAGGGCCCATCTCCAAGTGCCCATACCCCCTGCAGGGTGTGGGGCTGCTCTCGCTGGTGGCACCCCTGCTCATCTCTCAAGCCGTGGGACTGGCCCTCTACATCCTGCCAGTGCTGGGCCAACATGTGGCCACCCAGCACTTCCCAGTGGCCGAAGCTGAGGCTGTGGTGCTGACACTGCTGGCAATTTACGCAGCTGGCCTGGCCCTTCCTCACAATACCCACCGGTGAGATGCTGGGATGGGCAGGTGGGGATGGGGGGCCTCCTGGACACATAGGCAGCCCTGGACTGCCTCTGAGTCCGTTGCCTTGCAGGGTGGTAAGTGCGCATGTCCCAGACCGGGGCTGGATGGCACTGAAGCTGGTGGCCCTGATCTACCTAGCACTACAGCTGGGCTGCATTGCCCTTACCAACTTCTCGCTGGGCTTCCTGCTGGCTGCCACCATGGTGCCTGCTGCTGTGCTCACAGAGCCCCACGGGCCCCGGTATGTGCTGATCAGTCCCCGCCCCCCCATGCCTCCAGTGCCTGTGCCTCTTGCCACAGAGCCCTTCCCCGTTCAACGCCCCTTTCCTCCTCCACTTGGTATCTATGCCCCCACCATGGAGTCTACTCTGATGGCGCCCCTCCACCCAGGCCGCTCTACGCTGCCCTGCTGGTGCTGACCAGCCCAGCAGCCACACTTCTGGGCAGCCTGTTCCTGTGGGGGGAGCTTCAGGAGGCGCCTCTGTCGCTAGCTGAGGGCTGGCAACTCTTCCTGGTGGCACTGGCCCAAGGCGTGCTGGAGCACCACACCTACGGAGCCCTGCTCTTCCCGCTGCTGGCCCTGGGCCTCTACCCCTGCTGGCTGCTCTTCTGGAATGTGCTCTTCTGGAAGTGAGGTCTGCCTGCCAGGGCATGCAGGGGGCAGGGACTCCACAAACACCCATTCTGCCTCTTTCCTGGGAAATAAACAAGTGTATGTTTCAGCTGCTGTTTGGGCTCCTGGCCCACCATCCATGTGGGATCCCAGGGCATGGGGGTAAGAGGCCCCTGCCTGCAGGACTGGTGTTCCTGCATGCCTTCTCCCTGGAGGGGCTGCTCTGGTACAGGGATGGCATCCCTGCCAGCCAGGACATGGCTGGCAGAAGTGGGAGCCCGGCTGCATCAGCCCTGGAAGGATGGCCCCCAGCCTTGGGGTCTGTGGAAGGGGCAATTGCAGACCCAGACCCTGCTCCAGCCCCAAGCACACTCTCAGCCCTGGAGGATACCGTCCAGGCTCAGAGGGCTCTGTGCACCGCTGTCCAGTGCTGCACCAGGCTTGGTGCTAGGAAGGAGGAAACACCATGGCCATGGCTCGGGGCCTGGCTGGAGCTGAGGCACTCAAACAGCACACATCGCCATCTTCACTGCCTGGGCTGAGGGACAAAGGGCTGGAGCTGGAGCCCTGCAGGGAGGCCCAGGGTGTAGGGCGTGGGGTCCAGCCAAGGCCAGAATCTTAGTGTGATCCTGGGATGGAGCAGGGATGAGTTGAACCAGCCCAGGTGAGGTGCCCACAAGGCACAGAGAAGGCAGCACAGAAGGGCAGAGGCAGGATGGTGGAACCCATCCAGCACCCAGGAGCAGACAGGCCATGGGGGATGCAGCCCGAGGGGGAGGGCACAGATGGGCCAGTGCAAGGCGAGCAGATTATTGGACCAAGACCCTTGAAAGGAACAGGGAAGACCATTTTCCATTCTGAAGGAGAGAAGAGAGCCAAGTGTGACCCTTTGGTGACATTAGGGCTGCCACATCAGAGACCTTGGTGCTGTGGCTGAAGAGACCTCTGGTCATAGGAAGGCAAAAGTGCCTCGGCCAAGGGCCAGCCCGTGGCTCACTTGGGAGAACGTGGTGCTGACAACACCAAGTCAGGGGTTAAGATCCTCTTACTAGTCATCTAAAAAAAAAAAAAAAAAAAGATCCCCTTACCAGTCATATTTTAAAAAAAAAAAAGTGGCTTGGCGAGACACCCAGGTACAGGGCCCAGTGTTGGGGAAGGAGACAGAATTGCCCTGCCTGGGGAAGCCAAAGGATCTGTTAGGACCAACTCAGAGGGCTAGTGTCCCTTCAGTAACAGCGCCCCTGAACGGCATGTGGTCTGAGGTCCCAAGGAGTGTGCCCTCCCCCACGTCCCACCCCCAGGCTGCACTGCCCACCGGCAGCTCCCCTTGACACTGGGGGTCCCTGTTGTGGGGGGCAGGCTAGTTGACTTGGCCCTACAGTGGGGGGATCAGCTGTTGAGCACCTGGAGACTTTCTCTCTGGGGTCTCTCTTCAGAGGAAACTGCTGGTCCCTGTTGGGGAGCATATGCTCTCTGTCCAGCATTGTTGGGACTGGGACGGGGACACTATGACTAGCAGCCTTATTGTTAATTTCCTCTTTGGCCCACTCGCCCGCAAGGCTGGAAACTGGTCACTTTCTCTGAAGCTGGTTAGAAACCTGCAGCCCCCGTCCCAGTCCAGCTGGCTTTGCCCACCTCTCAGTGCCACTGGGAGCACCTCCCAGGCAGCAGGGGACTCTCCCCTGCTGAGTCCTGCAGGGATCCTTGTCCATACTTCCAGTTAGCTCCAAACAGCTTTGACCTTTGCTTCCATCTCTTTTTTCTTTCCTTTCCCCCCCCTCCCTTTTTTTTGGCAGCTGGCCAGCGCAGGGATTGAACCCCAGACCTTGGTGTTATCAGCACCACACTCTAACCAGCTGAGCTAACTGGCCAGCCCTATGCTTCCATCTCATGAATTCCAAGACAGTATTAAACTGATGCATATTTTCATAAATCCTCATTGAAAATCCAGTTGTCACCCATCCAAAATGTGTGTACATCGAGACTAAACAAATGATATTCTGTTGTAATTATCTGACAAGGTGCTTAGCCTCCTCTGTACCCAATCTGTAAAACGGGGGCATTAATTGCACGTGTGCCGACCTGAGGAACTCGTCCTCCAGCCCTCGTCGTGCAATCCTTGTCTCGTGGATGGATGCAGAGCCAGATCCCTCCTGCTGCCCTCCACCTTCTATAACTCACCTCGCCAGCTTCTGAACCCACCTGCTGGCAACACCTAAGAGTTCCCATAGATCTTTTTATGAGCTACAGCTTAGCTGCAGGCCCTTGTGTTGATTGAGGGTCAGAAAACTCCGAATAACAATAGCTTAAACAAGGTAGAAAGTTGTTTCTCCTTCCTGTAAATGAAGCCCAGTTTAGCACCCCAGGGATTGTGTGACATCTGGGGACAGCCAGGGAGCCCCACTCAGCTCCTTCCCCCTTCAACATGGCTGGCTCTTGCAGCCCCAGTCACACTCCCTGTTCCCACCATGACTCAGTCATTGCGACCAACAGGAGAGGAGCGAGGCTCCGAGGGGCAGTCTCTGCGGAAGATCTCTTCTTGGAATTTGCCCTGCCTGGTACAGTCCCCAGGCCACACCTGGCTGCACAGGAGCCTGGGAGTGTCTTTATGCAGGGTGGTTTGAGAAGCAGAGCATGGGTATCAGGGGACAAGGAACACACTCTGCCAGCCCCAAGACAAAACACTTAGGACTTTTTGATGCTGTTGTAAATGGAATTGTTTTCTTTTTCTTTTTTTCATTTTTCCTTTTTTTTTTTTTTTGGCAGCTGGACAGAACAGTGTTTTCTTTTTTTTTTTTTTTCCCCTGTTTCACTGTTTTATTTTTATTTTTATTTTTTTTAATTTTTATTTTGTCAATATACAATGTATATGATTATTATGGCCCATCACTGACACCTCCCGCCCACTGCTGGGAATATATCCAAAGGAACCACTGCTGGGAATATATCCAAAGGAACCACTGCTGGGAATATATCCAAAGGAACCACTGCTGGGAATATATCCAAAGGAACCACTGCTGGGAATATATCCAAAGGAACCACTGCTGGGAATATATCCAAAGGAACCACTGCTGGGAATATATCCAAAGGAACCACTGCTGGGAATATATCCAAAGGAACCACTGCTGGGAATATATCCAAAGGAACCACTGCTGGGAATATATCCAAAGGAACCACTGCTGGGAATATATCCAAAGGAACCACTGCTGGGAATATATCCAAAGGAACCACTGCTGGGAATATATCCAAAGGAACCACTGCTGGGAATATATCCAAAGGAACCACTGCTGGGAATATATCCAAAGGAACCACTGCTGGGAATATATCCAAAGGAACCACTGCTGGGAATATATCCAAAGGAACCACTGCTGGGAATATATCCAAAGGAACCACTGCTGGGAATATATCCAAAGGAACCACTGCTGGGAATATATCCAAAGGAAATGTTGAACCAACCTTGCTTCCCTGGGATGAATCCCACTTGGTCGTGGTGAATGATCTTACATATGTGTTGTTGTATTCTGTTTGCTAATATTTTATTGAGGATTTTTGCATCTATATTCATCAAGGATATTGGCCTGTAGTTTTCTTTCTTGGTTATATCTTTACCTGGTTTTGGTATCAGGATGATGTTTGCTTCGTAGAATGTGTTTGGAAGCTTTGCTTCTGGACAGAACAGTGTTTTCTTAATTTTATTTTCAGATTGTTCATTGCTAGCATATAAAAATATAGCTGATTTCTGTATATTTGTCTTGAATCAAGCAACCTTGCTGAACTCATTTATTAGCTCTAATAGTTTTTGTGTATCTGTGGATAGTTTTTGTTTGTTTGTTTTAAGGATGACTGGTAAGGGGATTTTTACCCTTGACTTGGTGTTGTCAGCTCTCCAACTGAGCGAACCAGCCATCCCTATATAGGGATCTGAACCCATGGCCTTGGTGTCATCAGCACCACACTCTCCCAAGCGAGCCACGGACTGGCCCTAAGATATTCTCTATTTTTTTTTTTTTTTGTCTTTTTCTGTGACCGGTAAGGGGATCACAACCCTTGGTGTGGGGTCGCCCACACCGCGCTCAGCCAGTGAGCACACCGGCCATCCCTATATAGGATCCGAACCCGCGGCGGGAGTGCTGCTGCGCTCCCAGCGCAGTACTCTCCCGAGTGTGCCACAGGGTCGGCCCAAGATATTCTCTATTTTTAAATAAAGTCATTTAAGGCTCTAAATTTCCCTCTTAGCACAGCTTTCACTGCATACCGTAAGTTTTGGTATGTTGTGTGTTTGTTTTCATTCACCTCAACATATTTTCTAATTTTCTCTATGATTTCTTCTTTCACCCATTGGTTATTTGGGAGTATGTTATTTAATTTCCACATACGTGTGAATTTCTCAACTTTCATTCTCTTATTGATTTCCAATTTCATTCTGTTTTGGTCAGAAAACATACTTTGTATGATTTCACTACTTTTAAATTTATTGAGACTTTTTTTATTGCCTATCATATAGTCTATTCTAGAGAATGTTAAGTAGAATGTGTATTCTTCTGTTGTTGGGTAAAGTGTTCTATTGATATTTGTTAGGTCTATTCTTCTGTTGTTGGGTAAAGTGTTCTATTGATATTTGTTAGATCTAGTTGGTTTATAGTGTTGTCAAGTCTTCTCTTTACTTGCTGATCTTCTGTCCAATCATCCTATTATTGAAAATGGAGTGCTGAAGTCTATAACTATTATTGTCAACTTGTCTATTTCTCCCTTCAGTTCTGTGAATGATTGCTTCATGTATTTGGGGGCTCTGTTATTAGTTAAATATATCTTTATAATTATGTATTCTTGATAGATTATTTTTTATTATAAAATGTCCTTTTTTTTTACTCTAGTATCAATTTCTCTCTTAAAGTCTACATTGTCTGATATTAGTACAACCACTCCAGCTCTCTTGGGTTATTCCTGGTGTGGGGCATCTTCTTCCAAATGTTTACTTCCTAGCTATTTGTGTCTTTGAATCTGAAGTGTGTCTATTGTAGACACCGTATAGTTGGATCATGATTTTTTGTCCATTTTGCAATTTCTGCCTTTTAATAATTGATTGTACATATCTGTGGGGTACAGTAATGAAT